AGTTTTTTATCCATGTGAAGTGGTTGTCATGAAGAAGGAGGTTGATGGGAGTCTCCTGTCGCTCGCTGAGATAGAGTGGGTACAGATTCCCCTCGTACCCAAACACATTGATTGCAAGACCATTCTGTATCTCCACTTTGGATACATCACGGAGCGTTGCAGGGAACATTACACCGTCGAACCGCAGCTCCTCAAGATACTGGGTGTACTTGGATGCGCGCTCAGCATTCTGTTCGACGGGGTGCAGCGCTGACAACAACGCCCACATCAAACACCTGTCATCGTTGTTCTTTACGTTAATGATGGCCTTCTTTTTTTCTAATTTCGGCGGGATAGCAGCTGCACCACCTACAGAACACCACAAAAATACACCGAAGGCTTTGCTCAGAGTAACACCACATCACAACTACACCCTCGCGACAATCACGAAAAACTGTACATCTGGTACAAAACATACATCTACAACTTTCCACAAGAAATTCGACAGGCTTCGAACAAACATTGCCGGATGAACAGAAACTCACCTCGAAGAGGAGTGTACTTTGCTGTCGACACATCCAGCTGTCTCACTCGAGAAACGGTCCAGTTGGATCCGTTCTGCATCCACTTATCAATAAGACCAGTGATCCTCGCCACCATCGTCTTGACTGCACCATCAATGTCCCCTTCGCTGAGGATCCGAGCCGGTCTACTTCTAAAAAACGGGACGGCAGACGTACTACCCGTGGCCGACTCTCGTGTCATCTCCACCCTCAAAACTAAAACCACCTTGAAAGGGTGAGACTGAAGCTCCTCGAGCAGAACCTGTCGGAGCTCGTCATGATGGCTGCTGAAAAAGACGAGAGGATCAGTGCCTGAACCTGGCAAAGAAAACTTTTTCAAAAAACCACGCACGGCACTCGAGGTGGGCTGTCTGGGCTGCCTGGATCGTTTTGCACTTGGCTCCGCCATCGTCACGTCACCTCCAGCACTGCCTACAACATACTGAGGAAAAAATCTCCCCGTACAGCGTATATGAGGTCGGCTATCACCCTACAATGACACGTGTACACCTTGTGTATGCGTCTTTTCCGCAGGGTCACTGAAGGTCGCACGCTCCGCGTGCTTATGCGCGCATGCGCAATATGTCACTGCACATCTACGATGTGCAAATCAGGCAGTAGTACGTATTTTACTACTCCCCGGTGCGAATGCACCGAACGTGCACAAGTGCACGGTCGCCACGGAAAAGAACATGATGACATTTATGACATGGCAGGGGTCAAAGGTCAAACCCTAGGGAGTCCCGGGGCCAGACCAAGCGCGCCCGACACAGTGTGCCTTATTTAACCTAAAGGTCAAAGGTCAAACCCTGGGGGAGTCCCGGGGCCAGACCAAGCACGACCGACACAGTGTGCCTTATTTGGCCCAAAGGTCAAAGGTCAAAAAGTGCACCAGAACCTGCCCCGCACTAACTACTAATGGTGGTGAACCACGATCATGCATTGATCATCATGAATGCATGTGACATGCGTCACAGATCTGGTTTCTATTGCTGGCATCTATTACGCCTGACTGCTTTCCGCCTTGGATTTGCATTCACAACTAAATGTACAATTATTTCTGCATGGCTACATGCATGTACGATGCAATGCTGTTAAAATTTATGTTGTTGCCTGTTCATACTGTCCTGGAGCTGGAAGGACGCTAGTCTTACTTACTTCTTCTACTTTTAGTTGTTGCTATATATCTTGCCTAAATGGGCAGTTAATGTTTGCAGCAGTTGTGCTTCGGTTCATAGTTGTATCAAGGAAAGTTAGAACATAATGGTTCTCTGTGCTTGTAAGACCACAGTGTAGCAAATGTAACACCTTGCATGCTGGAACTAGCTGGCCGCACACATGCACTCTTAGCCACAACAAATAGCACCCATGCACTCTTAGCCACAACAACAAATAGCACCCGGATATATACCCTCCAGTTGCATGAGAATAGTGTTGTACATCAGTAGTACTACAAGTAGTAGTACAATATTCTATCACAACGAAACCCAAAAAAGCATGATGGGAATAAGTGATCAATGTTGAGAGAGTGTGTGTGTGCTAGTGTTCATGAGAAAGCAACAAAAGAAGAGAAACTGACAGATAGAAAGCTTGTGCCTGTGTGTTAGAGAGAGAGAGAGAGAAACTGACAGACAAAGAGAGATACAGTGTACGTCAACAGAGAGTGAGAGAGACACACACACACAGAAAGAGAGATGGAGAGACCGACAGAAAAAGAGAGTAAGTATGTGAGAAAGCGAGCCAATACTTCGTGCCGAGCTTGATCAATACGCGATCAATAATCCAGTCAAATAAGGACAGAACTTCAAAAGAATTTATTACAGCAAAGTACATTGTAGATACACAAGTTGAGAGAAAAAGAAAAAGAGCGACACAGAAATCAAAAGACGCAGAGAGATACAGTGTATGTCAACATGCGTGTTGAGATGTTCAACGACAAAGTGCAGTGGATCCATGCTTTGTGAGTGTGAGAGAGAGAGACACACACACACGCACAGAGACAGAGAGAGAAGAGAAGAGAGAGAAAGAGAGAGAGTGAGTGTACGTCAACATGCGTGTTGAGATGTTCAACGACAAAGTGCAGTGGATCCATGCTTTGTGAGTGTGTGTGTGTGTGTGTGTGTGTGTGAGAGAGAGAGAGAGAGAGAGAGAGAGAGAGAGAGAGAGAGAGAACGAGAGAGAGAGAAAGAGAGAGAGAGAGAGTGAGTGTACGTCAACATGCGTGTTGAGATGTTCAACGACAAAGTGCAGTGGATCCATGCTTTGTGAGTGTGTGTGTCACTGTGTGTGTGTGTGTGTGTGAGAGAGAGAGAGAGAGAGAGAGAGAGAGAGAGAGAGAGAGAGAGAGAGAGAGAGAGAGAGAGAGACAGAGAGAGAGACAGAGAGAGAGACAGAGAAACAGAGAGAGAGAGAAAGAGAGAGAGAGAGAGAGAGAGAGAGAGAGAGAGAGAGAGAGAGAAGAGAGAGAGAGAAGAGAGAGAAGAGAGAGAGAGAGAGTGTGTGTACGTCAACATGCGTGTTGAGATGTTCAACGACAAAGTGCAGTGGATCCATGCTTTGTGAGTGAGTGAGTGAGGGAGTGTGTGTGTGTGTGTGTGCGTGAGAGAGAGAGAGAGAGAGAGAGAGAGAGAGAGAGAGAGAGAGAGAGAGAGAGAGAGAGACGCACACACCCACACACATACATACACAGAAAGAGAAAGACAGACAGAAAAAGAGAGTGGGTAGCATCAAGAAGTAGAGACTATACCAGCAGCTTCGACTAATATACTTCAAGTTCTAGTTGGATGTGTATTGAAGACAATGGTAAGGGGGGGGGGGGGTGTTATTGGAGTTGTTCATGATCAACAGTGTATCTGCTAGGCACATGTTGCATCCATTGGTCCTGTTTGAGTGACAGTAGGCGTGCAACCGGACAATGTTGGTGAAAGGCTGCATTACCAAAGAATTTGGAGAGAGAGAGATGCAGTGGATTCACGCTTCAAGGTGGCCTGCATCACTGGAGAGAATACACTCACCCTGCACAAGCCCTATCAAATGCCACGTGCAGTTCCAAGCTGAATGGCATGCTCCATGCCTCGCTTCAACACACCGCGCGGTATTTTTCACGTAGCTCATCATGCTTCAAGGTAGCCTGCATCACTGGGGAGAAGCCCCTCACTCTGTACAACCCTTATGAGTGCTGTGTGCTCCTCATCGAGGAGTGACACCTTTTTCCAGTTATATCTACGTCAGGCGTATTGATGTGCAGATAAGTCATGCATTGAGGCAGCCTGTATCACGGGAGAGAAGCAAATCACCTGGCAAGAGCAGTAGCGAGTGCTGTTCCTCATGGTGGAGTACCGTTAAAACTAAAAAACATGCGCCAATGGCAGTTGCTTCAGCTCCTTCTCTGCCATGATCAAGTTGCTACACAGGTCCTCATCGTGGAGTCGTATCTTTTCCAGTGTACGTCAACAGGCATGTTGATGTGTTCCGCGACAAAGTGCAGTGGATCCATGCTTTGAGGCGGCCTGAATCACTGGAGAGAAGCCAATCACCTTGCAAGAGCAGTAGTGAGTGCGTGTGTAGTTCCTCGCCGTAGAGTAACGTAGAACATGCAAAAGTGTAAGCTGCATGGCACCCTTCACATCTCGCTTCAGCTCGTTCTCTGCCATGATCAAGTTGCTACAGACCTTGCACGTTGATTCCATACACCACTGCCACAGGTTATGTCTGTCAGCTTGCGAGAGCAGTAGCAAGTGCGTGTGCAGTTCAGCTCCTTCTCTGCAGACCTTGCAAGCTGATTTCATACACCACTGCCACAGGCTATGTCTGTCAGCTAGCTACAGCAACAATATCCTCTTCATGAATGTTCAAAACTATTTTCTTGGGTCAAAATTAGCTCTCCACTGTCTACAACACAGCATGATCGCATGTGCATGGACAGGATCCGACTGCGATGCAGCTCTCCTGGAAGGAAGCAAAGTTCTCCTGTCGCCAATGCCATCGCTTGTCAGTGTCACTCAAGAAAAAATAAATTTCAATTTCAGAAGCTACGAATTCAACGCATTCCAGTCTGCTTCCACCAAGACTACTACAGGGCATCTGATTTGACAAGGTATATCAGTAGGACCAGGAAAAGTCACAGTAACGTTTGCAAGATCACTAGCCATTACAACAAGTATCAGAACATCAAAACAAACCTCGTGTAGATCCACAATTTCACATTCAACCCATCGATCTACAATTTTAGGTTCCCTTTCCCGCCAGCTGGACATGCATGCATGCATGCATGCTCTCACCAGGCCGGGAGTCGTCAAATGCCGGTACTTGACGACTCCCTGGCTCTCACTTGTCAGCCAGCTCACACGTCTTGTCATGCACGCGCAGACGTCCAGCACACACGCGTGTCGAAATGTGTTTTTTGGCGGGTAGTCGGCAAAAAATTAAGTGAGGGTCCCTTTAGTCCTTCGCGTAAGCTAGAGCGCGGAGAGATTACATAAAGTTAGCAAGCGTTCACAGAGCATACAATTGGGATGTAAAGTTGCAACAAGAGTGGGAATGAGTACGTGTGTGTTCTGTAAAGATATGGAACACACTCAGCTAGCGGGTGGTTTTGCGCATGAAGTCAAAAGGCAGGTGCGCTGCGTACGGAGAATGTTCGGTTCACACAGAGACAATCGCGCGTGTGCGCACAGACAGACTCGCGGGCAATGAGGATCGACTCGCGGACACGTCTGCAGGCCAGTGCCGGCCATCCCGCGGGAATGTACAGGAAATCCTCGAATAGTATCAGTGGCGGTGGCAGTGATGGTGGTGATGGTGCTGTTGCTGCAGCCGCTACTGGAGCTCTTAGAGGCCACACGAGCTCTGTAGTCTCTGCATCAATCCATATACCGGTGTACACTCACTCTGTTGTCTGGTAAGCACACTGAGCGACAACTGAGCATTCAACAACCGTCTTCATTATCATTCAGTGCAGATGACATCATCATTCAGGACACATGACGTCATCATTCAGCACATATAAAGTCATCACTCACTTCAGACGGCATCATCATTCAGCACATATGGCGTGAGCACTCAGTACATAAAAAAAGAAGAAGTAAATTATCGTATCCGTTCCCGAAGGGAACTCACGACGGCCGCTAACACCCGATAAACCCTAGCGGCAGATGCAGCGCCTAACGGTGGGGGTGAGTGGGTAAGTCTCACAACTCAGTACATATGACGTCATCATTCCGTGCAGATGGTGTCATCATCATCATACACTGCGTACATAGCAATGGACGAATGACGACGCCATAGCAGGTTCATGCCAGCTCGGTTGCGAGCAGAAGACAGCAACCTGTCTTACAGCAACGGTGCGCCGAGAGCCCCTAGCACACGTTTTGACTGTCGTGTGATTGGTGGGCAGTCAATGTCACCCGGGACGCGACGCGTAGCTTATAATATCTCACCGATTCAAACACGGGAAATATCTCCGGAAATGTCACGATGTAGAACGGCGCACGACTAGCAAGCACACACGCACGCACAGCGCTGGCAATCACGCACACATCTCATCGGTCCACTACCCATTCGGCATCGTCTGCGTCGAATATCGAATCCTCGGGTATCGCCTGATCCAGGTCAATCGTGCCCGTGCCAAACATGCTGGAATGGTAGGAGCCGGGTTTTGGCGTCATCGTAATGCCGCTACTGGCCACCTTCAAGTCCTCGCTTGTCATCGTAGACGTTGTGCCCGTGTGGGAGGTGGCCGATTCACCGGACTTCCGCCGCGCCCTGGCCCGTGCGGAGGCTGCGTAGCGTCTGGCGGCATCGTCGTCACTACTCGTGGCGCCGTCATCGTCGAAATCCCACAGGTCATTGGACTCGATCTGCGCCAGGTCGTCTTCCAGCGAGTGCTGAGACTCGAGCGCCTTCAGCGCCTGCTTCACGTTCTGCTCGGCCGGCGACGGCTGCTGTTGCTTTTGCTGCTGCTGCGGATGTGCAAGATGATGTCTCTGCTGCTGCTGCTGGTATCGCTGCAACTGAAGCCCGTCGTCGGTGGGAGAGTCGAGAGTGTCCATCGGTTCTTCGTCTCCGCGCCACTGTCCCACCAAGGAGATCAGGGACTTACGCAGGAAGTCAATCGGCGTGGAGAGCTTGCGCTCCACGCCCGAGCCCTGCGACGGCGACAACTCACGGTCCGCCAGGTGGAACGACGAGTTCGAGGTGAACGAGTTCTTGCCAACCGAGTCGCAGTAGCGATCCGGCAGACATATCTTCATCGACTCGGCCAGCTCTGTCATCGGCGCCGCGTACGTGTTATGCGTTGCCGCCGCCGCCGTTGCCATAGCACCCGGCGACAGCGGTGGCTCGTCCAGAGCGGCGCGCGGCTGCCTGGTGCTGAGGGCCGGTATGATGCCGGTGGAGTTGTACTTGCGAACGTCCCGGCAGGTGGCGGCGTCGTGCGAAGTCGCTCGCGTGTGCCCGTACGCGGGACGCGGCAGCGGGTCGCGGAAGCTCCGACGCGTCTTTGGCGACGTGGGGCTGCTGCCACCACCACCACCACCGGCGGCGCTCCGATCGAAGGACGGAACTAGCTCGGTCGGTCTCCGCTTGACGGTGGCACCGCTGCTTTTGGTAGCAGTTGCCTTGGGACGCGGCGACGCCTTGTGTCCGGCCCTGGGGGGCGGCAGGTTAGACCGCAGGCTGCGCGAGCCCCGAGACAAATTACAGCTGACAGGCAGCTCGGGTAGGTCTCGTTCCTGGGTGCGCGAGCGGCCGGGAAGCATGCCAGGCTTGAGGTTGGATTCGCGCCTGCTGCCATTGTTGTTGCGAGCTTCCAACGGCAGCTCGTCCGCGTTCGGTACGCTGCCACGCTTGTGATGATGGCTGGATGCGCTGTGCTCGACGTGGTCGGCCTCCGTGAGATGGTGCTGGTCCTCGAGCCTGGGGCGGGCGTGCGACGGTCTGACCTTGTGCTCTCGCGTTGCGCAGGACGACGTTTTCTTCTTGATCGACCTGCGCAGGCTCTGGCCGTCGACGCGAGCAAACTTGTGCTCAAAGTCTGGCAGCAGGATGTTCTTGTAGTCATGGCTGGGTGACGTCTGCTCTTGCGTTTGCTGCTGCGCCGGTTTGGGCTGTTGCTGCTGCTCTATTGCCGAGTTGGCCTTGACATCCTGCACGTCCTCGTATGCTAGCGACACGTTCATCATCGACGCTTCGTCTGCCTCGCGCCGAGAGAAGACGATGGCGAAGGACTCGGACTCGGGAATGGTCGCCGAGACGGCCTCCAGCTCGGCTTTCGTCATCGTGTACAGGTTGTTCTCTTCCAGCGAGTCATGGTGTGTGGGCTCGGACAGGCGTTTCTGCCGAGCCTCCTGCGCCGCCGTCGTGGCGCACGTGACCGTGGACGGCGTCGGCGAGGTCTGATGGTGCGACGAGGATTCGCCCGTACTCGGGGACTGCGGGGTTGAAGGCACCAGCGAATCGTACAGGGACTCGCCGGCGTGCGAGTGCGTGGAGCGCGAATAGATCTCCGTCTCGGCGGTCGTCAGGAAGCTCATGTCGCTGATGGTGCTGTCACGCCTGGGCATCAGCGACAGGAACGACGCCGCCATGCTCGGTCGCCCCTGCGCCTCGCTGCGTCCTCCCCCTCCCAGCGACGATGGGCGGGCTCCGCTCGCGCTGTTGCTGCGCAACAGGGAGGCCACCGACGAGGCGTCGCTCGTGCTGCGCCTTCGCCCCATCGGGTCGTCTATGCCGAGCATGCTGCCGCGCTGGCTATCCACGAGAACAGGTGTAGTGCAACCGCTCGAAATAACGCTGTTGCACGGTTCCTCGTCGTCGGCAAGGCTCCGTAGCTGTTCGAATGCCGCAGTGCTGGCTGCCAGGTTGAGGTGGATGCCCCCGCCGCATGTCTTGGGCTCGAGACAGTCCGGCCGGTTGTAGGCGTTCTCATGCGAACCTAGGTCGTCCACCGCGTCTTTCCGGTGACAATCCATGTCTGTACAGGGGGAGAATGGAGAGCAGAGGAGATTCAAAGAATTTACAGTCACACCAACACTCGCCAACACACACACACACGCGCGCACACACACACACACACCATTGGACCATTGGACCATAGGACGCCCATCGCCGGAGGCGATGACAGCGATGCTACAGCAGAAGCCATAGCAGTTTGTGCTGGGATTGCACCATTCAACAGCTTGCAAGGCTGAAGAATTGACCGCCACTATTCAGCCTGGTCTACATCACACAGCTATGAAGTGGCTTTTTCTGGCCAGTGAATCCCTACTTTTTGGTCTTTTTCGCACACACACACAACCACACACACACACACACACACACACACACACACACACACACACACACAACCACACACACCCACACACACACACACCCACCCACCCACCCACCCACCCACCCACCCACCCACCCACCCACCCACCACACACACACACACACACACACACACACACACACACACACACACACACACACACACACACACACACACACACACACATCTCTCTCTCTCTCTCTCTCTCTCTCTCTCTCTCTCTCTCTCTCTCTCTCTCTCTCTCTCTCTCTCTCTCTCTCTCTCTCTCTCTCTCTCTCTCTCTCTCTCTCTCTCTCTCTCTCTCTCTCTCTCTCTCTCTCTCTCTCTTATCCTAGGACCGGGCCCTGCCGATAACTCAGAAATTCCTGCAACTCTAAAACCAGTGCATTTTGATCGGGAAAGTCCAGATATCTGGCATATGACTTCACTACTTCAACAAGAATCAGCAAAAGAGTAGTAAAATTTCCACTTGGACTCACCCAGACTGTGTCCGGTGGACCAGGGTGCGCGTAACTTTGAGGTGCGGATTTGAGAGATCTGAGTCTGCAAACGGCTCATAATTCCTACAGGAAACATAGCGAAACACAAGAAAGTGGTAAGACTTTCACAAACAAGACGTTCATGACCGATAAACAATGCCCAGATAGCCGGTTTGTTTGTAGGGTAAAACCTGCGTTTGGCCAACCCGGTACCAAGCGGAATCCTGCGTTGGCTGGACAAATGTTCATGCACCAAAGCGCTGTGGATCCAACGTGCTTCACTGGATCGGCCGGAATCCTGTCATATCGGGACAGTCCCCACTGCACCGAATGCGTCTAGTCAGACCAGGTTTGGCTGCATTTGAAATACAATAAAACCGATAACTAAAAATGTGCAGTAAAACCTATGACTAACGACCGCCCCCTTGGGGCCCAGAGAAAGCGGTCTTTAGTGGCAGGTGGTCCTTAGTTAGAGGTTTACACCGTGCAACCATATGAAGAGTGTGAGACCGTCCTTGCCTGGCCAAGTGGTTTGTAGTACCAGGCTGGTCGCTAGTCACGGTGGTCTTTACGTAGTACAGTTAAACCTGTCAAGGTGACCACTCGGATAAGGTGACCACCTGTGCTAGAAGACCACTGACACCAGCACCAAGAGATGATATTTCCAGTCAAATGACCCTGGATAAGGAGACCACCTGGTAACAGAGACCACGTTTTGAAGGTCCCTTGAGCGGTTGTCTTATACAGGTTTCACTATACAGTAAAACCTGACAAGGCGACCACCTGTCCCAGAGGACCACTCGGATAAAGTGACCACCTGTCCCAGAGGACCACTCGGATAAAGTGACCACCTGTCCCAGAGGACCACTCGGATAAAGTGACCACCTGTCCCAGAGGACCACTCGGATAAAGTGACCACCTGTCCCAGAGGACCACTCGGATAAAGTGACCACCTGTCCCAGAGGACCACTCGGATAAAGTGACCACCTGTCCCAGAGGACCACTCGGATAAAGTGACCACCTGTCCCAGAGGACCACTCTGATAAGGCGACCACCTGTCCCAAAGGACCACTACAACCAGAAACCAAGGGGTGTTATATCCAATAAAATGACCCTGGATAAGAAGACCACCTGTCCCAAAGGACCACTACAACCAGAACCAAGGGGCGTTATATCCAATCAAATGACCCTGGATAAGGCGACCACCTGAACACCGGGGCCACGTTTTGAAGGCCCCAGGAGTAAAACTGCACAGTAGAACCTGTGACTAACGACCACACCCTTGGGGCCAGAGACAGCGGTCCTTAGTGGCAGGTGGTCCTTAGTTAGAGGTTTGCAACGCACAACCCTAATACATGTATGAATGTGAGACCGTCCTTGCCTGGCGAAGTGGTCTTTAGTTATATGTTTCACTGTAATTGTGCCGTTGAGCGAAAGCAGCAGCAGCACAAGCCACACAACATCAACAACTCTCACCCAAATCTTCGTGTATGTTGCTGATGCGCTTCTGCCGCTCGCGCATCAGCAGCATGAAGGACCCGACGGAGATGATGACCACTGCCAGAGTGATGAACACGATCATTAGGGATGTGGAGAGCTGCGACGTGGCACCGTCCCTGTCCGTCGAGCCACTGTCACCGGGCGGGTGAGGTGGCTGCGGGGTCGTCGAGGTGATGGGCAAACTCGGCCGGATGCTCACGGTGGTGGCGGTGTCGGTAGCTCTGGGACTGGTGGTTGATGCGACGGTGCTCGTCACAACTCCTATCCGGAATGTTGCCTGTGCTGTGTTGCGTGAGTTTGCAGCAGAGCACGTGTACTGTCCAGTGTCGTACGGCGTAAGTCGGACGATGTTCAGGATACTGGTGGTGACTTCGCCCGCCACTTTCTGTGTGATAGTGTGGTGGTGAAAGTGTGTGTGTGTGTGTCGGTGTGTGTGTGTGTGTGTATGTGTGTACGTGTGTGTACGTGTGT